AATTTCAGCTTGACTTTGAAATCAGGTGATGATGTTATTCAGAAAAAGCAATGAAGGAATGACTGATTTAGTAGGTAAAATTTTAACTCTTTCTCCTGTGATTATCTCTAGTAGAAACAGGTGATATCCCAAGCCTTGGATTTTTGAAATTCACTTCCATAAGTGTAATGAGCCTAAATTCTTACTAAGGCACACCTTCTTTGCTTTATCTTTGGTCAATTTTGGTCAATAGGATAAGAATTTAAGTTGAAGAGTGATGTCATAGCTGTAACAAAAAGGATGTTAAAGAATACTTGTATGTCTATTCTAATCATTAACACAGCATTTTACCAGAACAAATGTGGCCTTCAGCTATCATGTGTAATAGCTATTGAGACCTTGACGGGGCACCTGGGTGGCTCAGTAGTTGAGCGTCTGTCTTTGGCTCACCTCAAGATCCCAGGGTCCTGGGATCGAGTTCTGAATCAGGCTTATGCCTATGTCTCTGCATCTCTCTCTGTTCATGAATAAATGAACAAAATATTTTTTAAAAATAGGTATTGAGGCCTTGAGAAACTTACTCAGTTTCTTTCAGCCTCAGGATTCTCAGCTGAGCAAAGAGGAATTATAATACCTTCTTATTTATCATGAAGATTCAATTAAAAAGTTTATTGAATGTGGTAATATTTGTAAAATGCCTCAGATGTTCCCTGGCATATAGTTGGGGTTGTTTTCACCCCAAGTTCCCTATTCCATCCCCCTGTCCTTCCTTGGAAGAGAGAGAAAATGTTTTTCTTCAAAAGTCATCCATTTCTTGATGGAAGATGATAATGTGCTAAAATCTAAGATGAGTGATAGGTAGTAATAGAAAATGATGGATAATGGCAAATATTAAACAGATTAGGATCTGGATAAAATGTTAGACTCCATTAGCTAAGATAGTCTTCTGCATTCATGTGTGTTACACACATGATAAAGTAGAGCAATTTTTAACTGCTTAGTAGTTAGAGAACACTATTTGGAAAGCTCTTGATAAGTTCTTAGATGAGGTCAGTTTTTGCAGGTATGTGTTGGCCTTACCAAGGCTTCATGAATCATGTGTGATGTAAAGATAAGATTCTATACAGTGGAACAGAGGAAAACAGAATTAAGAAATAGGAGGGATGAGAATAGGAACAAAGTAGAGGCAACAGGAGATGTAATAAAGCTGTCATATAAATAACATTACTTTCCTCATGAACTATTAAAATTATTAGACTCATAGAATGCTTGTTGTGAGTGGGTTTTTGGAGGTACCAGAAAAGTAAAAAAGTAGACTCTAGCAGGATAATAATAACTGTTACAGGGAGAATTTGGAGCATTGAATTCGAACTAATGATTTGAATGAGAGTCATTTGGGTCTCTGTATGTCGAGTCTCTGTTAATGTTTGCTTTATACATGATCACGTGACATTTCATCAATACATAGAGTGTTATGGTTCATGTTACTGTATGTATGACACTTTATGATATAATATCCTATTCAAATTATTTTGAAATAGAAATATGAAGTCTTAGTTTTTTGTAGTAAATATATTTTCCATATATGAAGCAAAATTCTCTAACAGAGCTCTAACTCCCAGTTACACTATTGATGAAGTTATATTCTCCTACATGACAACAAGGAGAGCTAGTAATGGACATCTCACCCTTGTTCCTAGTTACCAGCATTTTAATAATGTTTATTCTTTGCTATACTCATGAAAATTCTTCTATAATTTTTAAAGACTTACATATTTTTAAAGACATAATTTTTAAAGACTTACATATATATATACTCTTGTAGGGACAGACATACTCAAATAACCAACAAGGCTATCAAATGGAAAGAAAAAAAATAGTAGTGGCATGAGAAAAAGCTGTTGCAAAGGGTGACTTTTGGAAGAAAGAAAGGAATGATTGACTTTCAATGCCATAGCCAATTATCACTTATTTGTTTATGTATACATCATCAAAGATATTTGAGTAGTGTTTAAAAGGATGTGCATTTTCATATAATATTTAAATCAATCAAAAGAATGTGAGAAGTGTTGGATTTTTATTCTGATTTTTAACAGATCTTTGTGACAAAGGCATAATTTTTATACATAAAGATAGTATAGAACATGGCATGTGCTTTCTTTTTCACTGCCACTGCTCTAGCTCCAGTGAGGAGCTTCTGGGTTTCTGTGACAGTCTCCTAGTGGCCTCTCTGTCTCTAATATTTTTCTCCTCTAATCTAATCTCTGTGACTTTGTGAATGTTTGTAAAGTTACCACATTGCTATTACAATTAAAACAAAAACACCTTACAAGATTTATTGTTCATCAGTCTCCTTTGTTTATCCACACAGACATATTTGCAGTTCATTACATGTGTGCTGTGGATGCTGTCTCATCTTTGGGCTCTGTGTAAGCCATCTGAACATTTCTTCCCCATCTCCCTGTCATTTGCCCCTTCACTCTTTTTAAAATCCCAGTATACAGTTCCTTTCTTTTGGGAAATCTCTACGAGCCCTCAAGAGAGTTAACAATAGCTACTCATTGTTGAGCATTAGAGAGGGACTGGAGATGTCTTCACTGAGAAGGTAACATCTGAATTGAGTGTTGAAGGACTGAAAGGTCAGGCTGCTGAAGAACAGAAGGAGGTTTTAGGCAGGAGAAATGATCTCAGTTAATATAAATGGGAGACATAAAGGGTCAAAGGAAGTCAAAGGAGCAAATGATAGTTTGGTAGAATGTAGGATGGTGAGGCAGAGAATGAGGGGAGGTTGTTAAGAATTCAGTATGCCAGATTTTAAATGGGTTTTGGGTATTAAGGAGGACACTTGTTGTGAGGAGCACTGAATGTTATCTGCAAGTGATGAATCACTAAATTCTACCCCTGAAACCAACATTACATTATATGTTAACTAGAATTTAAATAAAAACTTAAAAAAAGAGAATGCCAGATTGTGATGCGTGTAAAGAGGTTTTAATGCCTAACCAAGAAGTTTCAACTTATACAGTCCACAGATTTTCATCAACAGAAATTTTAAATTTGCATCATGAGGCAACACGATTAGACAGATTTTAGAAAGATTATTTTGTCAAAAATTGAAGAGAAAGGGTTAGTAAAAGGCTGAGAATGGTAGCTGGGAGACAAGTTTTTGAGTAGATAAAAATGAAAAGAACCCTCATATTTGGGGAGAAATAAAATACTCTTAAAAAGTAAAATACTTGGCAGCATAGGAAAGAATTATATGAAAAATACAGGTAATAAAAGGTCATAGGTTTTCAAGAAATGTATTTTTTTCTTTAAGCTTTGAGAGGAATTTATTAAAGGGGATATTAGATGATGACAGCATATTGGTTGGGGTTGTGACTGGAAACCAAATTCAACTCAAATGATTCAGATAAGAGACATTGATGCAATAGTTCTTAACCTTAGCTGTACATTGGAAACACTTGGGGAGCTTTAAAAAATACTGATGCCTGGATCCTGCCCTTAGAGGTTCTCTTTTAGTTGGTCTGGTTTGTGGCCTGGCCACTGGGATTTTTCAAAGCTTCCCAAAGCTGATTTTAAAATGCAGCCTGAGTTGACAACCACTACTTTAATGAAAGGATGTTTTCAGAAGTGTGGGCAGTGTTAAGAAATAAAGGATGATAAGATATTGGAGACTAGTAACAGGGGAAATATTACCACACTTATGGCCAAGGAACAAAGGAAACAATAGATTGACCCAGTGAGAGCTGGACAAGTGGAGAAGGGGTCATTTTACCAGGGCTGCAGCTACTTTCAGACACTTTTTTTTTTATAAAATCTTTTTTTTTTAAGATTTTATTTATTTATTCATAGAGACAGAGAGAGAGAGGCAGAGACACAGGCAGAGGGAGAAGCAGGCATCATACAGAGAGCCTGACATGGGACTCGATCCAGGGTCTCCAGGATCACGTGCTGGGCTGCAGGCGGTGCTAAACTACTGCGCCATGGGGGCTGCCCAACTTTCAGACACTTAATGCTAGAGCAGGACTATATATACAGACATATTTCTTTTTTCTTGCTATATGTAAATATATACACAAAGAGATATATTTTAAAGGATCAGCTCATGAGATTATGGGGGCCAGTAAATCAAAATTTTGCAGGGTGGGTCTGTAGACCGGAGACCCAGAAAAAGCCTATGTTGCATTTCAAGTCTGAAGGCTGTCTGCTGGCATAACTACCTTTTATTTGGGGGAAAGTCAGTATTTTGTTCTATTCAGGCCTTCAGCTGATTGACATTATGGAGAACAATCTGCTTTACTTGAAGTCCACAATTTAAATGTTTATTTCCTCTAAAAATCATCATGCAGTACCTGGGTGGCTCAGTTGGTTAAGCATCTGCCTTTAGCTCGGGTCATGATCCCAGGGTTCTGGGATCAAGACCTGCATCAGGCTTCCTGCTCAGCAGGGAGTCTGCTTCTCTCTCTCTCCCTCTGCCCCTCCCTCCTGCTTGTGTGTGTGTGCTCTCTCTCTCAAATAAATAAATAATATCTTTTTAAAAATAATTAAAAATCATCTCATACAAATATCCAGAATCATGTTTACTCACATATTTAGGCACTGTGGCCAGCCAAGTTGACACATAAAATTACCCATCATATAAGGAGGGTTTGGAGAAGTAGGTCAGTATCTTTTACTTTCCTCTCTTGTTTTGTCTAAAGAGCCTCTCAAGGAACAGAGAGAAGAATGGATAATGGATATGAAGGAGAAAATGGGAAATATTCTGCATATACCACCTACTCATTTATAGCCTTGACCATTATTCTGGAAATGCCTTTTTTATTGTTAGAATTACAGTTTGGTTAGATGGAGGAATATTATGACATATTTGAGTTTAGTTTCTAAAAAACTATACTAATGTTTTAGTCATTTCTAAAATTATAGTCTAATGAAATTTTCTGAGATGTTTCTTTTTCTACTAGAATAACATAAGGAGGCTCCTGTCACAAGCATAAATGTGTGTGTGTGTATGTTTTAAGTAAAATATGGAATGTTTCATGAATTTACATGTCATTCTTGCACAAGGGCCTTGCTAATCTCTGTATCATTCCAATTTTAGTATATATGCTGCTGAAGCAAGCACATTAATGTGATTTTTATTAAACAATAAAAGCAGTACTGCAATTCATTCTCAGTTTAAAAGGAAAGACTTTCTTTTTAGATTTTATATTAGATAGTATCAGTTTTTTCAGATTTGTTTCTCAGATTAAAAAAATTATTGTATATTATGTATTTTGAATAATCAGAAAGGAAATGTATAAATAAATATGGGTATATAATATAAGGATGTAAAGGGTATTTGCTATACAATCTAGATGGTGATTATTAATAATTCATATGAGAAATGATAAATGTTCTGAGTAAACAGCCATAGAAATGGAAAAGACAGCTTTAAGTCCTGTGATATTTAGTCTAGAAGCCTCAACTGTTTCTTCCTTGTGTAGTATAACATACTACATAAATAAATGGAGAGATAGTATGTTGATATTGATGTATACATAGCACATTGAAGTGGAGATATTTGTGGGGCAAAGGAAAAATCTTGTTTGAAACTTGGAAAAATGTTGTGGGGTTTATGTGTGTCAGCTGAGCACTCATTGTACACCAACTGTGGGAGGAATAATGGCAATGGAGAGGCTGCTTTAGAAAAGAGGAATGTACAAAGGAGAGCAAGCATGGATGGAGCTCTTGGAACCACTAATATTTAAGAGATACACAGAGAACTAAATAGACAAGGAATACTCAGAGAAATGAGAGAAAAACTAGAAAAGAGTCAAGAAACCCAAACAAAGAAAGGATTTTAAAGATGAGGTAGTTATCAAATAATTAGGAAAACAATGCTAACTTTAGTGAGAATAGTTTCAATAGTTGGGATAGAAGCAGCAGGCTCAAGAAAGAATGTGAAATGAGGGACTAAAGATAATAAAGACTGATAATTCTTTTGAGAAACATGGCTGTGAGAGAAAGGAGAAGGAAATGGAGCAGCAGCTAGAAATGGTCATTAGAATTTTCTCCCCCCCCCACTTATTCTTCCTTTCTTTCTCTCTCCTATTCTCCTTCCTCTATTTTATCTTCTCTTCTCTTTTTGTTTTTCAATGAGACAAAGGAGTTAGGATAATGGTTTGCAGTCAAGGTTTAAGATTCTGAAGGTTAGTTAATTCTAGAGGTTAATTAGACCCATGGTATGCCTTTGGAATTACACTGTGGAAGTGGAGGCAAAGATATTTGGAATAGAGAAAGTCTATTAAGTAGCTCAGATGTAAGGTAAAATGTTGGATAGTTAAGGATGGAGACTGTGGATCAGATGACAGTGCTCTCAGTAAATGTTGGAGAATGTCTAAAGATTAGAAGATGAGAGCAGCAGGTTCAGGTAAATGGATGTAAAGCCAAACATTATGAGAATAAAAGAAGAAGCTTCTTAAATGAAAATAAATGTGCAATAAATAGGAAGTGGCAGTAGAAAGCCAGAAAGATGCCATCCCTGCCTCCAGGTCTGAGATGTTCATGGTGACTTATGGGAGAATGTGCAGCCCATATTAGAGAAGTCAACATGAGAAGAACTGATTTGCCATCAAAGTTAGATTTCTGGTAAAAGAGAGCATAGAGGATATGCCCTGAGAGAGTTTAAAGATTCAAGGATGTAGAGAATTTGAATTTGATTGGTTGTTTTGAGAATGGATTCTAAAGACCCCTAACACCAGAAGTGGCAGCATTTGGAGGGAAAGGAACAGAGGGAAGGTGGGACACTAGGACTAATGAGCTTGATCTATAGTGACAAGATGGTTAGTGACATAGGAAGCTGTGAATTAACCAGAAGTGATGTAAATAGAATACGATGTAATTAGTGGAAATTTGGTCTTAAATAATTTTGATAGTGGCAGAGACCCAAGTTTTCAGAAATCTGATTTCATAGATATCCCTACTGGTACTGAGCTGAAGCGTCTTGCCAGGAAGTCATTGGTGATCATTAAGCCCTCCTGTTGCTTCTTACCCTCTAGCATGTGCCAAATAGGTCCAGGCTTCAGGAGGAAAGAATAGTTGTTATAGTTAGTGGCAGTTAGTATAGTGACTAAATGTAGTGATTCCATTTTGCCCACTTCTCCCTCAGTGAGATCTATAGGAATCTGAGAGATGCTTATGAGAAACCTGTGGTTGATCAATGGGATTGTTGAGGAATGCTTATTTCCATCTGTTTCTCCACAGGAGCTAGCTAAAATTCCCCAATAGCCTCGTAACTCAGAGTTAGTCCCTTTCAGTTCTAAGAGGGAAGAAGTAGGGATTTCCCAAAGGGAAAGGAGAATCCCCTGTTGCAGTCCCACTATTGTTCATAATCATAAACAAAGGGACAAAATTCCTTAGGTCAGAGTGAATTTTCATACCTTACACCAGAACTTCACTGGCCATGTATGCTCATACTTCAAACTGTTACCTCAGAAACTACATCTGGGAATTTATATTACTTTTTGCAGGTATGATAAGGTAAGATCTCATTCTTACCTAATAGATTGTGGTTCTTTTAAAAAAAAAATTATGTGGACTTATCTTTTTTTTTTTTTTTCAGAAATGACTCACATGGTATTTACTTCTTCTTCTTGCTTTTTACTTCTTGCTTTTCCTTGATATCTAAGTTGGGACTGTGAGAGCAAATACTTTGGTTACTACAGGCAATATTTCCAGGCAAGGAAAATCATTCCTGTCAATAGACATTTCATAGAATCCATAAGGGAAGCATACTCCTATTGTATTTGAGACAGGGTTTCACTAAGTAGAATAATCCCTGAGAAGGAAAGCTGAAAATGAAAATTATTAAAATTTTTCAATATCAATTTTTCAGCATATGTATTAGAGTATAGTTTGGAAATACTGAAAAAAAGACTCAAAATTGTACAAATGTATTGAGGAAACAGTAGGACAATAGTCCTAGCATCATCTTTCATCTTCAATTTAGAAAGTATTTTATGAAAGTTATATTCTTATTCCAATGAGTCACTGTATTTATTGCAAGGACAGAAAGCTATTGATGACTCTTAACAAGGCCTATCTGGGCATGAGAGGATTCTGAGAAGATGGTACAGTAGGAAGCATTAAGAATCCATCTTCCCACTCATAAAATAGGTACACTGGCAGAATGTGTCTAATATAACTATTTTGTATCTCTGGAGCCTACCGAGGGCTTGCTACTTTCAGAGAAAAGCTTGGGCATTAATTTATGCCTAATTTCAGCCAATTTCAGCACTAATCATCTTCCCATCCCTACTCTTCAGCCGATGGCAGACAGCTGTGCCCTTGTTCCTAAATCATCTTACACACAGTTTGCAGCAACCAGAGTGACAGTAAAGACACTGTCCTCCACGTATCAGGGACCTGTTCTCTTGATTGCTGATTGTTGCTTCTGATCATGAATATGCAGACACAGAATTGGGTAGCTATTGATGCTACACCTCTGCTTATCTTTGGAAGCCCTTCCCCTTTCAGCTGAAGTGACTTCCAGGAGATTTAAAGGGCTGGCCCCTCCTCCCCATTAACACACACAATTTACCTCTTTTTTTTTTTTTTCTATTTTGGGAACCAGACATTAAAGACTAGGGTATTTGGGCAGCCCAGGTGGCTCAGCATTTTATCCGTCTTCAGCCCAGGGTGTGATCCTGGAGTCCAGGGATTGAGTCCCACATCAGGCTCCCTGCATGGAACCTGTTTCTCTCTCTCATTCTCTCTCTCTCTCTCATGAATAAATAAATAAATAAATAAATAAATAAATAAATAAATAAATAAATAAATAAATAAATAAATAAATAAATAAATAAAATCTTTTAAAAAAATAAATAAAGACTAGGGTATTCAAAATCAATCATATATGAGGGAAATTGGAAAGTCACCACATATGGCCAGGGAACGGTGCAGACTCAGTAAAGACCTCGTAAGGCGGGGGAGGGGCAAGATGGCGGAAGAGCAGGGTCCCCAAATCGCCTGTCCCCACCAAATTACCTAGATAACCTTCAAACCATCCTGAAAATTTACGAATTCGGCCTGAGATGTAAAGAGAGACCAGCTGGAACGCTACAGTGAGAAGAGTCCGCGCTTCTATCAAGGTAGGAAGACGGGGAAAGAGAAATAAAGGAACAAAAGGCCTCCGAGGGGGAGGGGCCCCGCGAGGAGCCGGGCTGAGGCCGGGGCGAGTGTCCCCAGGACAGGAGAGCCCCGTCCCGGAGGAGCAGGAGCTGCACCAACCTTCCCGGACGGGCGGAAAGGGGCCCGCAGGGAGTTGGAGCAGGACCCAGGAGGGCGGGGATGCCCTCGGGCTCCCGGGGACACTAACAGACACCTGCGCCCCGGGAGAGTGCTCCGAGCTCCCTAAGGGCTGCAGCGCGCACGGCGGGACCGACCGGAGCAGCTCGGAGGGGCTCGGGCGGCGGCTCCAGGGAGGGGGCTGCGGGGCGGGAGCGCGAATCCAACAGCGCAGGCCCCGGAGCACAGGGCGCCGGGACACAGCCCAGGATCCGGCCTCCCCCGGGACAGGCAGAGGCCGGGAGGGCCCAGGACAGCAAGGACGCTCCTGCCCCGAGCTGAGCAGATCAGCGGCCCCGCCCCGGAGCCTCCAGGCCCTGCGGACGGAGAGCCGAGAGCCCCGAGCCCCGTAGTTCCTGCGGAGGCTGAATCCAGGCTTCCAGAGTTGCCATAGCAACTGCAACTGTTCCTCCTGGGACCTCACGGGGTAAACAACCCCCGCTGAGCCCTGCAGCAGGCAGGGGCAGAGCAGCTCCCCCAAGTGCTAACACCTGAGAATCAGCGCAACAGGCCCCTCCCCAGAAGACCAGCTAGAGGGACCAGTGATACTCCCCCGTGTTCCAATACAACTTGTTTTTGGCCACTCTGCACTGAGCAAAATGACTAGAAGGAAAACCTCACCTCAAAAGAAAGAATCAGAAACAGCCCTCTCTCCCACAGAGTTACAAAATCTGGATTACACTTCAATGTCAGAAAGCCAATTCAGAAGCACTATTCTACAGCTACTGGTGGCTCTAGAAAAAAGCATTAAGGCCTCACGAGACTTCATGACTGCAGAATTTAGATCCAATCAGGCAG